TAGTCTTTTTGCTTTTTCATACTGTTTGTGGGATTCTCAAGGCAAGAATATTGGAGTGGTTTGCCATTCCTCCTCCAGCCAAAGCTATGGTTTTTCCAGGAGTCATGTATGGATGTGACAGTTGGACCATAAAGAAGGCTGAGCACCAAAGAACTGATGCTTTCAAATGGAGATGCTGGAGAAGACTCTTGAGAGTCCCTTGGACTGCAAGATCAAACCAGTCAATCCTAAAGGAAGTCAACCCTGAATATTCATTGGAAGGACTGGTGCTGAAGCTGAAGCTCCAATATTCTGACCACCTGATGTGAAGAGCTGACTCCTTGCAAAAGACCTTGACACTGGGAAAGATTGAGAACAGGAGGAGAAGGGGGCAGCAGAAGATGAGATGGTTAGACAGCATCACTGACTCCATGGACATGCAGTCCACGGGGGTCACAAAGCGCCAGACACAACTTAGTGAATTAACAATAACAACAACAACAACACATGTAATTTTTTCTGGTAGCTGGAGTCACAGCTTGGACGGTGAACTTGGCCATGGCTGTGTTCCAATAAAATTTTATTTATAGAATGAAGTGTTGGGCCCGATTTGGCCCACGTGCGAACACTTGCCAACCCCTGCACTAAACGGAGAGCTCTGCCTGGCCCAGCCAGCTTGATCCACACGCTGCAGGCCAGGTAACTCTTTTCTCTTCCCAAATCCATGCAGACCTGTCCTTCCTTCCCCCTCAGCCCCTTTCATCTACCTAGGTGATTGCCTACATCTCCTGAACTTGAACTCTCCCTCCCACATGATGAAAGAATCAGGTGACAAATGCAGCCTATTGGTTCGGAGTTTAAGCCCCCTTCTTCCCATTAGCCTCTCCATTCCACCATCATCGAGTCATCCTCTAACTTCTCTGTCGCTCTTAAAATAATACGTAACAGTGGTATCAATAGCATCTGTCCAGTTGCTAGATTCTTCACAGGGATCTGTCTACTTCTCCCCCACCAGAATTCTTCCCTTGAGTGGGGTTAAGGTTCAAATTGCCTCTTGAACTTTGCCATCGAAACCCACCAAGGCTGTCAGCCTCTTGCTGGAGAAGGTACTTTTCCTTTGGCCTTCAGTCTCACTTGCATAAATTGCCACGTGAACCCCACCCACCTTGGTGATATCGCCTACCTGCAGGTCAAGGTACCACGTGCTCTTAACCACCTCCTCCAAGCGGGCGGTCCCCACCCTCCTGATGAAACGCTCCGTTCTCTGAAGTACCCCTGAGGTCAGGGGCGACCAGGACCTTCGCCCGCTGGTTCTTTGGACCATCTGGTTTGCATCCCCTCCCCATGCTCATCTCATGGTGCCTGAGGGCTTCGCCATCCACTGACCAGTGACTTTAGCTATCCGGTTGCTATCTTTCAATTACGTGGCACTGAGGTCAGAGAATCTGATCTGAATGGTACTGGTCTGGGAGTGTTCTGACTTTCTCTGTGGCACAGTGCTGTTATCATTTCTGGGAAACACCCACACCATGTGCTCAGGAAGAAGGTTGAAGTTTTCCTAACTGCTGGGTTGGGGGTCCACACACGTCCATTATGCACAGTTTGTTAACACTTTATCCATTTTATCAGCGTCAGGGAGGGGAACTTCTCCCTACCACGACTGGGCTTCTGTCTGTTGCTCCTTGCAATTCTGACCATTTTTCCTGAGGCTTGTGAGGCTGACATTGCTGGAAGCCTACACACGGGGGATCATTATGTCAGCTGGGTACATTGTTTCTCTTGTCATTAAGTCTTGACCTTTATTCTCTCAGCAGCTTTCCGCCTTCCCATCTGCCGGTCTGAAACTGAAATTGTTAATACCTGCTTTCTCTCCGCCGGCATCCGCCTCGTGTCTTTTGTCATCCCTTTATCTTCCACCTCTGCATGTCAATGTTTTAGGCACGTCACTTGTTAATTACACAGAATCGGAATTTTAAAAAGCAAAACCTCTCTTTCAAAAGATGCATTTAATCGTCTGACGACTGTTTTTACACCGCCCCTCCCCCTAGTATTAGTCTGTCTTTCTCTTTTTTATCTTCCTCCCTCCCTCCCTCCCTCCCACGAAACCCTGCATGGTCTGCAGCATGAGCTAAGGGCAGAGAAGGCTTACATGACTTGACTGGTGGGGGGAGGGGTGTTCTGCAATAAGATCAGAAGAATTTGAAAGGAAGAACCCAAATCACGAACTGTGGATTTGTAAGTGGGGCAGACAGACCGAAAGCCAGGGTCTGCGCGAGGTCACCCTCCTTCCGTCTCTGTGGCCGGCATTGTATGGACCCACTGCCCCGCCATTCCCCACGCTCCATACCCTGGACACAGTGGTGATGGGGCACAGTCAGAGGGGCATAAACCTCTCCCCCCCAAGGAGCCTGGTTTATCAGAGGGTTTCATGAGGCTGAAAACAGCCCTGCCTCCCCAGCCTGATCCAGAATGGAGAGCCCTGTGGAGGGTTTACATAACTCAGAGAATCTGTCTGGTCTCAGAAAGCGGGGAGCTGGGTCAGAAAGACTTTTCTTCTCCTTTCTTCAGAGACACGAAGCTTAGCAGAAAGTGCTGGTGACAGAAGAGAGGGACATTGGAGTTGACATCTTGATGTCAGGGGAGACGAGGTGCCACCAGACGGGAAGCCGCGCCGTGAGCACGGTGCCTGGGGCGGGCTGTCAGTGGCTGGCACGGATGTCTCTGGAGCGTGCGCGGCTCCCGGGGCTTGGGAGGGCCCGGTGGCAGCTCAGCCCTGCAAGGCCCCTCAGTGCCCTGACACCGCCCACCCCGACGGTCCATGTGGTCCAAGCCAAGTGGAGATTGACCAGCCGTGCCTGGGCACGATGCCCACGCCCCCTCCCCATGCCCGGGTCAGGGAGAGCAGCCCGCAGGCTTTGATGAGGCCAATCAAGCCCTGGGTCTGGGTGACGGTCCTCACATTCTTTAGGCTTCACCCATCTCCCATCTCCTTGGATCATCGCCACAGGCATCTTGTTTGATGCTGACCCTGGAGTGGGGGCGAGGTAGCGACTCGCGAGTCTGACAGGCAGGAATGAGAATCGAGAAAAAGGAAAAGATCCTGCCCTGCGACGTGGCAGCCCACGCCTGCGTCTGGGGCTTCGTGGAGCAGACGGGCCCCTTCACACGTCGCATCAGAGTCCAGTAACCACAGTGACTGCACGGACACACGGGCCCCACGGCAGATGAGGGTCTTGAGGAAAGGATGCGACGGGGCGTAGAGAGACCCCAGGAAAGCTGGGGACCGAGGGGGAGAGCGGGTGGGATTCTGTGAGGAAGCAGTTCCTGGCAACCACGGTCCACAGCCACAGGGCAGACCATTGAAGGAAGCGGTGACATTGCCTTCAGGGGGAAGAAAAGCTGATTTTGAGATGTTACCGGTCAGAGGGCACTTGAATAAACTCAACACAGAAGCCAGTGGCCACCAGACCATCTCTCTGAGCCGAATTATGTTTTCAAAGTATCGTGGTTTCCAGGGACCTCCCTGGGGGTTCAATAGTAAAGGATCCGCCTGCCACTGCAGGGGACGTGGGTTTGATCCCTGGTCTGGGAAGATCCCACCTGCCGCAGGGCAACCGAGCCCAAGCGCCACAACTACTGAGCCCCTGCTTTACAAGAGAAACAGCGAGAAGCACACACGCTGCAATAGAGAGTAGTCCCACATCGCGACAGAGGCCCAGCGCAGCCATAGATTAATTAATTAAAAAGTTTTAAGCTCCTTGAGGTCGCGCTTGTGCTAGCTGTTCCAAAGTCACCGTGGACCCTGCCCCTCCCAACTATTTGCACCCACCCAGCCCCACCTGCCTGTCCCTGCCTGATGGCCTACACCCAATTCTGCTATCCTTCGTCCCCTATGGGCATCTGAGTCTTCTGCCCTTGGATGGAAGGCACCATGCGTGCTCTTTCAGCCTGGAGGCTGCGGTACTCGTGGTTTTGTGGGCATGGGTGGACCAGGTAACTCATCTCCATGATGCCTCCTCATGGCCCCGAGGCTGGGGACTTATCCAGGCTCTGGATGACTCGAGAGCGGTGGAGGGGAGGAAGAACCCATAGGGCCTGGTGACTATCTCGGGAAGACAGGGAACAGGGGCTCGAGGATGACAGTGAGCTTGGCTAGGTCAGCCAGGTACCTGGGGGTTATGGGAGACCCTGGGGGAGACGGGGTCTGCATGGCAGCAGATGGGACAATAAGCTGACCGTGGAGATGCTGGGTGCAGGGATCCTGTGACTTCTGGAAGGTGGCTGAACCCATATGCATAAGTGGCGGGAGAGAAATCGAGGTTGAAAGTCAGCGTGGGCATCACCAGCAAAGAGATGGAGAATCAAGCCCTGCGGGTGTGGGAGAATGGCCAGGGAAAGAGTGCCGAGTGAGAAGAAGGGGGCCCTGGAGATGGAGTGCTGGGGGACATGAGTTTCAGGAGAGGCCATCGGCGAAGCCGGCAGGAGAGCCAGGGAAGGAACAGATGCGAGAGAGGAAACTGGGAGGGCCTGCGGCCAGAGAGAGGAAAGCAGGGGCTTAGAAGAGAGGAAGGGGTTAGGACGGCCAGCCACTGCTGCCTTTGTGGCTCCTGGACCTTCCCATCCACCTGGGGCTGAATTCTCAGATTTGGGACCGGCGAATACCGAGGGCTATTGTGGTACTCGAGCCCTGGTGGATTCGAGCATCTGCCGGCAGGTCCTGGAATCAACGGCCCAGAATTACCGTCTTAGCGTGATTCATCCATTTAAAGCATTTGGAGAACAGCATACAATTACAGCCATGGTTGGTTTCCAAAACAGCTACCCCTTAGCTAGCTTGCTGGAAGAACTCGGCATAGCCTGTTTCTTTGATGGAGAGTCTCTCTCAGGTGTGAGCGCCCCTGCCCTCCTCCTCGCCCCCACCAGTCAGAGCTGGGGGGCTGGGGTGCTGCAGAGTTCTGTGCAGACGGCTCACCCGAGGCACCAGCTAGTGCAGTGCCACCAGGGCACGGGGTGTTGCTTACCTGGCGCTCTCGAAGGTGGCCGATGCTGTCTTCCCTACGGCCCCAAATCCAACTCCAACCGCAAGACCCTCTGAAAGAGACATAAAGATGCACGAGGTGTTAGGAATCACTCTTGTAATATTACACATGCATATGGGCTTCCCAGGGGGCTCCGTGGTAAAGAACCCACCTGCCAATGCAGGGGATGTGGGTTCGATCCCTGGATCAGGAAGATCCTCTGGAAGAGGAAATGGCAACCCACTCCAGTATTCTTGCCTGGAGAATCCCACGGGCAGAGGAGCCTGGTGGGCTACAGTTCATGGGGTCCCAGTCAGACACAACGGAGCGACTAAACAACAACAATACATGCACACAGCATTGAAGTTGGCTCAGAAGACAAACCAACAGACCGCTGTGGGTTGGCTCAGTGCTGTCGTCCACCAGGGCAGGGAGATGCATGGTCTGACCCACGTGGTGGGCATACCCCTGGGTTACCATGGAACCAGTCACATACTCCATCACACCGGCAAACCTACGGTCCTTTCTGCATACTTTATAGTCACTCAACATGCTTACACTCGCTGTTCAGAACAGGCAGCTTCTTCACTTCTTTGTAAGAAATCAGAACAACAGGGTTTCGACATGACGCAACCCAGGTTAAAAGCAGATCCTTCGAACGCTCATTTCTGAAATGGGCGTGCCGATTCTGTTTGCAGATAAAGGAACTCAATGTAAAGAACGAATGTTACATTTGTAAAGGTCAGTGGATTTTTTCTATTATGCGTTGATGTTGAGAAACTGAAGTTTTTGAGTCCCCGAGTTCATTTGAATTTGACTGTCTTAATCCTTTTTGTTAATTAAAAATGCTTGAAAAAAAGGGGAACTCTGATTCAGAGGTCCAGGCTCCTCATTCTTGACAGCTTCTTGACCTTTTCTTGGTCTTTCAGAGATTTCCTCTGAGGGTGCGCACAGCAGAAGCCGTCACTCCAGGGAGGAGTTTGGATAATAAAAGTTCAACACTTTCAGGACAGCCTGATGCATATGACAAACTTCAAAAAGAATGAGCGTCCTTGGTGAGGTTCCATATATCCCTGGGGACTGAATTTCAGGCCTGGCTAGGATGGATATGTCTCAGGGTTTCAGGCATCCCTGGGATCCAGGGGCAGGCGGCCTCTAATGCGGCCCTTGAATCTTGGGAGCTGTCCATGGTCCTGAGAGGATAAAAGTAGAGGACATCTGAGCTGCCTCCATCTGGCCCATCTCCCACCTTGGGGGAGCCCAGGGTTCACAACTCTGCTGTTCTCAATCTTTTGTACCAACACAGCCCAGACCACAACTCACTCCCATCGGTAAGTGTGGGGTTTCTGGGGCCACGTTCTTCACCAGGTGTCAAAAGCTAAGCAGAGACTGGCCAGGGTTCCCCGACACCAGAGGGGTCAATCCCTCCCTTTGAGAAAACTTGCTTTCCTAAACCATAAACAGCAGCTGGTGGCTCTTTTGTTAAAGATTCTGCTCGAATGAGTCATTTAATGTAAAGGATAGTGCAGCCCTGACAATAGGGCTTACATTAATTAGCAAACTAACCCTTTCCAGTTCTTTAGCACTTGCCTTACTAATGCTCCCAACATCTCTGGAGGTTGGGGGGTGGGGGGGGGAGGCTATCCAGCTAACGCAGGAGAGAAAGGGCTCCTTCACAGTGACAGGGCATCGAGGGGCAGAGCCAGGCTTGACCCTCAGTTCCCCAGTCCCCTCACCATCCCAGTTGGCTGAGATAGGCTGCAGCTATTCTCCCAGGTGTGGGCAACACGGGCTGGCATCTGCGTATCTGCATCCCAAGGAGGTTATGAGCAAAGTGAAAGCATCCTGCCTCTACCCCACCCTGTAGCTTGGCCACGCCCACAGTGGATACCACAGCCTCTGCTCCGCCCTGTAGCTTGGCCCCGCCCCGTAGCTTGGTCACGTCCACAGTGGATACCACAGTCTCTGCCCTGCCCTGTAGCTTGGCCACGCCCACAGTGGGTAAGTGTGGGGTCTCCGGGGCAACGTTCTTCACCAGATGTCAACCCCTGCCGCCAAATGCACACACGGTGGCCTCCTAGGTGGCTCAGCAGGTGAAGAGTCCCCCTGCAACGCAGGAGACACAGGAGACGCGGGTTTGATCCCTGGGTTGGGAAGATTCCCCTGGAGAAGGAAAGGGCAACCCACTCCAGTATTCTTGCTCGAAGAATTCCCATGGACAGAGAAGCCTGGAGTTAAAAGGGTCAAAAAGAGTTGGCCACGACTGAGTACACACACACACGCACCTTAGGTGGTGGCCAACTCAGTTTCCCCCTTGATTTGGAATAAAGGAGAGAAGAGGCAACGGAGGAAAGGAATGTGACTGCAGTTGTCTCTGAAGGTGGAGGAGTACCTGATAGTTAGATTATTGAGGAACCAAGACGAATGACCCACATGGCAGGAGCGTAAATATGGGAATGGAGGCAGACTCTGAAGACCAGCAGGTGGTAGAAAGAACCGCTGGGTGAAACAGGGAAGAGAAAAAAATGCGACTGGTGTTCACACCCCAGGGCTTCCACCAAAAGTGCAAATCAGGGAGATAATTAAGACAAGAATCCAAAGTGGCTGGAATATTATCAGTAAGCCAGGCCTCTTTTCACAGCTACTGCCATTAAGCCAAGTGCAGAGAGAAGCGAGACAAACTTCCAAACCTGAGGTTGTAAGGCCCCGGGATGCAGAGAGAGTCCCGAGGGCAAACTTGAGAATAAGCTCTAAACCTGCTCTGCCCATTCTGATCTTCTGTGGGGCGGGGGGTGGGGGTTCTGCCTCTCACCATCTCCCACCCCTCCTGAATCTCCGTTTCTCCCCATCCTCCATGGGGAGGGGGTGCAGGGGCCTTCTATTCCTCCTTGACCGGGGAGCAGCCACCACCTTCAGAGACCAGCTCTCCACCAAGGGAGAGAGAGTCTCAACCTCCCTTCAACAAGCTAGTCCTGGGTCTCCCCCTGGTCTGCACCCCTCTGCCTGCAGTGAGTCATTTTTATCTTGTTCCAGAGGTGGGAACAAGCAAGCCCCCCTATCTCATATCATTTCTCCACCTTTTCTGTATTTCGGCCATGCCACACAGCTACTCCCCAGTCAGGGACCACTGTGATGGGGAGAGACGGAGGGCTGCGCAGAGAGGAGGGGTGGTCTAACAATGGCCCTTCTAGCCAGACGATGCTTGACCACTACTTTTGCTTTAGGAGCAAGTCTGAACGTTATTCGTGCCCAGGTCACTCACTGAAAAACAGACAAATAACCATCCTGGAGCATCAGCTGCTGGACGGGACCACGGGGGCCACGGGGGCGGCCTCAGGAGCTGGCAAGGGGGCCGGGCAAGCTCCCTCCTCTGCCCACCTGGTCACTGTCGCTAAGCTGGGAGACGGATACCAGGCCAGGTGGGGGGCAGTGCTCACCACACGAGGTAGGTGTCCCCTCCCCGGCCATCAAGGACTTACACACACCACGGGGTGGCCCTGCTGCCTTCGCACCCAAGCAGATCCCACAGCTTGGAGGAGGTTTTGGGGGAGACTGGCCCCCAACATGTGAATTCCCCTTCCTAGCCTGTGGGAAGGAAACCCAGGGAGATGGGAACTCTGAAATATTACACATTTATTGAACAAAGTATTGGTCTGTCCAGCCAGGTATTGCCACAGAATTCCATTGCCATGGAATTCCTATAGGGTCTTGAAAATGTCCAATAAAGGATGGAAGTTATCAACTTAAAGTATTATTTTTTTTTTTTAGAAAAAGTAGTTCAACACACTTTTCTACTGTGGATTGTGAACCCTGCTGTTCATATGGGATGAAGTTAAGTTTGGGGAAAGATGAAAAATAGAGGTTTTCCAGAAGAGGTGGATTTAACTCCAATTCTTTTTTTCTTATTTATTATTTATTTACTAATTTATTTATTTTTATTGAAATATAGTTGATTTACAACATTGTTATTTCCTCTTGTACAACACAGTGATTTGGTTATACAAATAACGTATTTTATTTTCTTGGGCTCCAAACTCACTGTGGACAGTGACTGCAACCATGAAATTAAAAGATGTTTGTTCCTTGGAAGAAAAGCTATGACAACCCTAGACAGTGTATTAAAAAGCAGAGACATTGCTTTGCCAATAAAGGTCCGCAGAGTCAAAGCTATGGTTTTTCCAGTAGTCATGTGCAGATGTGAGAGTTGGACCGTGAAGAAGGCTGAGCACCAAATAACTGATGCTTTCGAACAGGCTTTCTGAAGGGAAGGGCAGGCTGGGGCCAGCTGCCCAGGAGGCACACCTTCATCGCTGTCGCCGCGCCTGGCCGCACTCTGCCCCGCAAGCAGAGTCAGGGTACAAGTAACTCCTTGTGGGGGACACCTCTGGAGGTGCAGGGGGGTATGTAGTCATGGTTTTATGACTCCTCTAAGAAACCGGGAGGAGACTTTTTTTTTTTTAAGTCCCTTGGAGGACTTCTGCATGAAATTAGACTTTGGCAGTTCTTTTAGGATGATGAATAACCCCATTTATCCCTCCCCATACCTGACTCCCACCAAAGCATTTCCAAAACCAGACAAAGGAAAGATTTTGACGCCTCAGATCACTGTAATGCTTTGCGGCACTGAAGGCAGATGGTTTATAGTACAATGCATGTGGCTCATGAGGGCAGTGGGGGGTGGTCCTTGTTTTTTCACTGGGAGGTTAACAGAGGAGGAAATTCACTCTCTGCCTCCCCCAGCCCAGTTCTGTAATTGCCAGGTGCTGGGTGGGGCCCTCGGGGCTCCTCTGTGTGGGCCCCACGTGGTTGTGGCTCTGATGGGTGAACCCGCCAGCCCAGCCTTGGGTCATCATGCACAGCGCAGAAAGGTCAGGGGCTGTGTTCTCCCGAGTCCACGTCTTGTAGACAAACCTGACCTACAGGAGAAGAGAATGTCACGGGCACGAAGACAGCAAGAAAACCGGCCCTGAAGTGTTTATGTCTGTGTCTGATTTATCCCCGCAGCCTGTAGCCCAGCTGCACCTCTGCCCTTCCTTCCTGTGTTTGACATGTACCCACACCCTTTCAACACCT